GCTTGACACCTTTTACGTCTAATTAAAAAAGATAATTAATTGTGAATTTTTCTGAAAAACGTTGATTAAACGCTCAGCAAATGTAAATTTTTCGTTTTCAAAGATTTTTAAACTTTGGAAATCAACAAACTTTGGCGGCCATTTTTTCGTTAATTTTTACTTCTAAAGCCAGCGTCTCCAACCTCTTTCAACTGCATGCAAATATCTCAACTTTTATTTGAGATAGATGTGCTTAATTTTCATAGAAACATAATCAAATGAACAAGCTTTAAAATAATACTAATAACTAAAGATGCACGAAAATTGACGAGCGCCTGCTTCCACCGCGTCGTAACACAAATATCCAAGACACCGTACGTACTTCAGGTTGACCATGGAGCGCACCTTAAGTCTTGACTTTTATTTGAGCTGTATGAAGGACCGGGAGGGAAGACGCCACGCGCACTTGACTAAGCGAGATGTGTGTTTCTCCTTTCACTTGGATGTCATGGCGTGGCCCATATTGCGTGCCCTTTACGGCGCAGTTTTATAGAGGGCGAAGAGCGGCAAATAGCCTAAGGAACCAAAAGGAATATCGGTGTACCACACCTACTTGAATACTACTCGTGTTTGCCGAAATAAAACACAGATACGAAACAGTAACACCAATAATATACTTTTTTTTAGGTTAGTGTTACACGGCGCTCGCAGCTGTATAAGGGAATATGAGCGCGCACAACATATTATTATTATTAAACATTTTAAGTTGGTAGTAAATTTTGAATTTTGCCCGGATGGCGGCTGAAGCCTACTCTTATAGATTTTGAACCACCAAGGAATTTTTAACGTGCGCAACTTGCTCACGAGACCTCCAAGATTTTTCGTTTCTCTCTTGTCCGAGAAGGCTTGGTGTAGATCTTTCCTACTACAAGATCAGGAGTGAGGCTAAAAGACAGCAGAAAGAAGGAGCCAAGGAGTAGCAGTAGTAAGGCTATAGAAAGAGTCAGGAGACCAGAGAAGGGGGCAAAAAGTGGAGACGAAAGCAGACGAGAGAGCAATTTTGTTCAAGAGCAGGAGAGGATGTGAAAGGAGAAAATTTTAGAGAAGAACATTTTCCGTCGCTATCCGATTTCGAAGCGGGGACCTTTTGAATGAGAGTTAAACACCTTAACCTATAGGCCACGAGACCCCTCGCCGGCCGTCATGACAGTTTACTGTCAAGTGTTTATTGGCAAAACAC